TCACAATTTTCTGAAGTATATTTTATTTCAGGTCAGAGCGCAGCATCTGGAGCGGTCGGTTGACTTCCTGGTGAAAGAATTAAAAGTTTGTACGCCTAAAGAAGCTGACGAAAGGGTTTTCTTCATATCGGCCAAAGAAGTATTGAATGCACGTCTTCAAGAACAGAAAGGGCAACCACCACATTCTGGGGCACTCGCTGATGGTTTTCAGACGCGATATTTTGAATTCCAAGATTTTGAGAGAAAATTCGAAGAATGCATTTCACAGTCTGCAGTCAAAACAAAGTTTGAGCAGCATTCGCAGGGTGGCAAAAACATTGCCATGTGGGTAGAAAACATTAGAAATATAATAATAATTATTAAGAATATATATTTACCTTATATAACTCACTTCATTTCAGCAATGCTTCTCGTATAATTTAATTATTGAAACATTCAGACAAACAGTGTAATTAGTAAAGAATATCAATATGTTTTGTGTTAATTGTTCTTATTATTATTTTACAGTGAAATGGAAAGTACTCTCGACTCAATATACAAACGTGCTGGTACATTGCGTGAAGAAACATTAGAGAAAAAACGAAAGGTATCGGACAGTTTAAATTATACTGAAACTCAACTTATGGCAGCAACTCGAGAAATGAAAGAAAAAATACATGGCATGGTTGAGGATGTCGAACAAAGGGTAGGGGTCAATCTTGTATTATCTTTAATTTAATCATTGATAATATTTTTATTAGGTAATGAAAGAATTTAGTACAGTCTCATAATAGAGAGATCTGATTTTTGCTAATTATTTTTTTTAGCAATATGTTTTAGTATTGAAATTTATAAAATATTTATTTATTTAGGTCTCTAAAGCTTTGTCAGAAGAAATCCGAAGATTGGCCGTTTTAGTCGATGAATTTAGTTTGCCCTTCCATGCTGAGCCTCTGGTTTTAAATGTCTACAAACGAGAATTACATGCCCATGTAGAAAATGGCTTGGGCTCAAATCTTCCTGCCAGATTATCAACTGCTTTGGCAATGAATGTTGAGGCAGCACAGAAGGAAATGTGCGGTAAGTGTTAAAATTAATTTGTAGTAATTATATAAAATAAATTATAGTAATTTTCAAATGTATAATTTAAAGTTATTAACATAGTACCATAGTAACATAGATTTTTAAGTTTTATTGTAGTTCTTTCGATTTTTCTTTTGTGTTAAGTTCTGTGTTTTCTTATTATACATTTCTTAGATGACTTACCTTTATTTCAAGGAATATATTTTAAATTTATCTTAATATATAAGAATAGATTAAAATAGACATGAAAGCAAAAAATTAATAATTAGTTTACTTTAAAAATTTAGTTTTCAACATTAATTTTCTTACTTTATTTGGCACTTTGTGGTACCAATGCAAACCCCTTTTAAATAGATTTGATTCGTCAGATGCTACCTACACCAGATATTTTAAAGGAGGTGCTGGAAAAAGAAGAATATGGTATAAAGAACGTTATGAATTTCTATCAAAAATAAAAAATAGATTTAATGCTAGATAATTATAATTATCCTAGCCAGTAATATTTTCAAAAGACACAGGACTAAAAATAAACAATGCTTGAATTTTAAATATTCATTATAATGCCTATGATGTCATATTTTTGTTTCTAACGGGAAAAATTAAACAAATTCTTTGTTTTAAAAGTTATTTTGTGGTAAAAGAATGTTTATTGTATGCAAAATAAAATATTTTCAGCAAAATGATTTAAATAGCAATGAATTAGTGCTGGTGTTTAAAATGAGGAAAAAAATAAAAATTATCACAATATTTTGCTAATATTTTAATAATTATATATACTTTATTTAAATATTTCAATATTTTAATACCTCAGCTTTTGCATCACTGATAGCAAGAACTGTTGCAGAATGACATTTATCTTATAACTTTATCATTTTCTTCTTAATAAATGCAATTATATATAAGTCTTCTATTTTTTTTCTAGAACGTATGGGTGAACTACTATCAGACTGCCCGAGTGCCAAACAGCAGATTGAATCAGCACCACGAACAGGACCATTCGAAATCCTCTATCGATTGAATTGCGATAACCTGTGTGCAGATTTTACCGAACGATTAGAGTTTAGGTTTTCTTGGGGCATCACTGCCTTATACAACGATTTGCTGGCAACAAGGCTAAATAGATTGGCTATTGCCAACTATCCAGAAGGGGTGAGGAGATAATTGATACAATGAACTTATTCATGATTAATATTTTGTTATTACTTCAGGTTCCAAACCAAGCTATGACTCCAACAGCTTCTGGTGATTATTCTTTAGTATCCCAAAATGGACAGAATTCTGGTGTACCGTGCTAGCATCAGTCTTTTGCGAGATGAATGGGGCATCAATCTCGTGTGGCTGTTGCTTCAATAGGATCCATGGCACTATGGGTGGATTGCTAGTAGCTGGATTTGTAAGTTGTAACAGATGACGTAAATGTTTCATACATTTCATATACTTTATTCTTCATTTTTCTGGTTTATCACAAAGTTATAATGTTATCAATTTTGAAAGATTTGGTGCTTTATTATATAAGTCTTTTTTCCAATTTTAGATGTTGAAAACAGTCGGATGGCGTTTATTAGCAGCAGCAGGAGCCTTGTATGCCAGTGCGTATCTATATGAAAGACTCACATGGACTAATAAAGCAAAAGAAAGAGCCTTCAAGAAACAATACGTTCAACATGCTACCAGAAAACTTAGGCTTATCGTGGATCTTACTTCGGCCAATTGCAGTCATCAAGTTCAACAGTATGTATCAACATATGAAATGTAGTAATAAAACCTAATATAAAGTTATATATTATTTATATAGTATGAGTGCTCTGTTGATCTCAATAGTAATATTTTCTTACACAGATTATTGTCATTTGGCTTTTTTTGCTTATTAAATTTTATATTTTTCAAAATGTAATTTTTGTGTCAATAATTTTGATGCCGTTCTGCACTTATTTTTATTCATTTTGTGTTTCTGTATCATTGATATAAATAACAATTCACTTTTCAGAGAATTATCAAGTACGTTTGCTAGACTTTGTCATTTGGTTGACGAAGCAACTACATCAATGAATAAAGAGCTTTGCTCGCTAGAACAACAAATTTGCAGATTGGAATCACACAGTTCAGAAGCTAAGGTATGTTATTATTTATTCATTCAATTGTTTATTTTTTCAATCATATTAATTTATATATTATGGTGCGATTTGATTTGCAGGTGCTTCGTAATAAAGCAAATTATATAATGAATGAATTAGATTTGTTTGAAGGTAGTTTTCTTAAAATGTGATAGGCAATCATAACGGCAGCTGGACTTAAGGTAATAATAATAACATATTTATGACCTAAATATATATATATATATATATATATATATATATATATATATAATATTACCTTTATTTCAGAGCCTCATCACATTGGAGATTTCTATACTAGGAAATATATAATTTACGAACAAACAATTTATAATAAAAGCTAGTGAAAAGGTAGTGCACATGTAAACACTTTAAAGTGATTTTTGTATATATATGCTTTATAATGTTTGATCATATTTACATACTATAGTATTTCACATTTAAGAACGGAGATGTTTTATATCGATATATCTCTGTTCCATTGTGCCTTACTATGTTTTGTATAATATGCACATATGTATAAATCGACAAAATGTTCAAATATATTTACATATTTATTTATTTATATACATATATATTTGTCTATCAGCTTTGTTGATTAATAAGAGTCCTTTTTGTTGTAATTTGTAGTCAAATTTCCTTACATCATATTAATATGTTTAGTTTGTTCCAATATGTGTTTAGATGTATATTGTTCAAATGTACAAAAGTGTTTAATGTACAAGTTTCGTTATTGTTATTATATTTTTAAGAAATACATATATTTTATGTGTGTACAAAATCACCGCATATTATTAATAATAATTTCATAGTTAGTCACGATTATAAAACTTGAGTAGAATAATAACAATAATTAACTCACGAAATGAGAAGTTTGTTTTTGCTAGAAAATTCGACTTGCTGCTTTGAAATTTGGATAAAGTCTGTATAGTGAGTGTGTATGTGAACCGATATTTGACCGATTTCAAAAATTAAAAGCCATTCGATATGTAACTTTATAAGGACTATTATTAACTTCTCGAAGGAGAAGTTTTTGTTTTCATCAAAAGATCCGATTTGCTAATTTTATGTTTTTCCGACGTTTCAAGACATTCTGAATCGAATGAGACCAAATTTGGAAAAAGTATGTGTGTGTGTGTGTGAACAGATTTTTTACCGTAAATCGACACTTTGTCAAAAACGGCTGGACCGATTTCAAAAATTTAAAAGCCATTCGATGTATCTCGATGAGGTCTATCGTTTGTCAGTTTTGCGCTGCGATCGGTCGAACCATTTCTTTGTAAATGGCAGAAAAGCGAAAACTTTTTCGTCCTCATTTTAGCCGGCAATTCTGAATTGATTTTGAAAATTCAAAAGCCGTTCGAAAGATATTGGTTGGAAATCGTGCTGATTAATTTTTGGTAGAGATCGGCCGCGTCGTTTTCTTGTAATAAAGTGTTAAAAAACAATTTTTCGACGATTTTTATTATTTTTTTGACGGTAGATACCATAGTCTTATAGATCACACTAAAATATTACGACCCTACGACAAGTCGTTTAATTTTAAAACGAGCAGAGTTTTTAATAATAGGAAAATAATAATAATGATTACTAAGAAACATTTTATACAAATAATTTATTGAGAATCTCCACCTATTAAATTAAACTATATTCATATTTAATATTAGATAAATTATAATTTATGGTTTTAATTTTATTTATACAATATGTTGCAAATATATTTTGCGTATATTATGATATATTAATTAAAAATATCATATCTTTATTCAAATGTATTTTGCAGAAAAAGTACTTTTTCTAAAATTAAGGTACGAATGACAAACTTTTGTAAAAGCAATATTTAAAGTTGTTTTTATATATTTCACTGTCTTCGACCGAGTCAATTATCCAAATCTATCATAATTTAGCTCCATCATAAAATCATCTATTACTGCGGTTATCAAATATTTTTACAATTGAAAATTGTGCACGCTGCTACCCCCATTATTATTTTGACCATATTGATATCGGGTCGAAAATTGCGAACAAGCATCATCCATAATTGCTTGTGATGGAACCGCGACCATTCCATGATGGGGCCTAGGGGGTCCCACTGGGTGCCCCATTGGCACTCCGGCGGCCGGAGGTCCTCTTGATACCAGTAATACTGGGTGCAAATTAAGAGATTTACGAGATTCCGTTACGCTGGCCGCATCGGTTATGTAGGCGTTGTTTATTTCACCTGGGATAAAAAAATGTATGCCAAATATTATTGATATTATCATAGTAGTAGCACCAAAAATTGGCATGTAAGAGTCGATTTCCCTTACCCTTGTATACGCTGCCAGGTCTGTTATAAATTCCGTCATCCGCTTGTAGTTTTACGTGTCTCGTAGCTAAAACAAAGGCGAGTCCTGCAAGGGCCAAAGCATCGCAGGCCCCGGCCAGTGCCAAGGCCAAGGCCCAGCGGGGCGAACACGCACCAGGTGCGTAAGCTCCTGCTGATGGGCCGCAGGCCCTACGCACTGCTGGTGCTCCCCAGCCTAGTGGGTGACATAGGGCTCCGGTGGCCATTGTAACGGCTGGAAAAAAGTTGATCAAAAAATATAATAAATAGTATTGTGCATTTAATCAATATTAACCGGGTATGTATGAAAGTAAATATAGTTTACAAGAAATAACTCTTACTAACCAGATACCAATTGCAGCCATCCGCATATGTGGAAAACAGCGGTTGATGGACAGAAGAAAAATAACAGCATGGCAAGAATAGCAAAAGCCGAAGCCACGACGGCAGCCCCCACGAAGACTGTGGCCAACTGAAAGATTCCAGAAGGAAGCTCCGAAAAATCTGCAAGGCGGCCATCGCACGTTTCACCAGCCTAGAAAAAAAAACATACAGTAAGATTAAGTAAGGTAAAAATATTTAATTTTTATTGCTTGCATTTATATAGATCTTTGATTATCTTCGATTTCAACCTCGGCTAACTCGATATTCAGCAGTACGATATCAAATTTCCATTTGTAAATAAAGATAACAAATATAGACTGAAGTGAATATCGTCAATAGCCAATACTTATAAATATGCCATAAGATTTTGTATTTTTAAAGTCTAGATTTTATCTTATAGTCCATTGCAGGACAGTTGTAAAATTAAGTATATTAAACCTAAAAAAACACTAGTGGATAAACCATATCTATAATGTATATAGCGCAAACAGCTCCCAATGTCGCTCAGACAGCTCGATAACAAGCAGTATAATATAAAACTTGAACTTGTATATATAGCACAAACAAGTTCTGCGTTTGATTTCAACCTTTGCCAACTCGATATCAAGCAGTATGATATAAAATTTCTTAGTTTTGAAGTAATCTTTAAGATTGGAACCTGCTTTCGAGGCTTCAAAAAATCGCTTTTTTGAGGAATTTTTTGGGAAGGAAATAAATATTTAATTAAAACGAAACTTGCAAGATTTATTGTCAAATATTTCAACAATCTTCTCAATTTTTTCCATTAAAATATATGTCATAATAATATGCCGGGTACAAACATTTTGCCGATGCGCCACGAGCGTGCAGGTTTCATCTGGCGGGAAAGATGCAGGTCACAATTTACATCCGAAACAAAAAAATCAAAATAAATATATATTTTGAATAGTACATATAGATTCTAGTTGAACCTAAAAAATCCAGGAAAAAACTGGAAACTTACCAATTTTTCGCATCTTAAAAAAAAACTTGTATTTTTATACAAAAATTCCGCGTTAGATTGTTTAAAAAAGGGTTAATTATAACTTTTTTTATGTTTTTTTAGGTTCAACTAGAATAGAATTTAATCCTGAATATAATAAATTTTGTTTCGTTTCGATAGGACGTTTAGTTTTTCCCCTATCTTTTCCGCCAGCTAGGAAGAATCGAAAAAATTCAAAACCGAAAAATCGTGAGTCGAAGCTTTCGTTCCGTTGGTATAAATGTTTGACGCTTGCTGTCTATTTCTTCTGTAATTCCGAAAATAATTTGAATTTGTTTCTGAAATTTTAGGGATATATTCTTGGCTAATTTTGGAAGATATTTTTGCGAAAAAAATCGATTCTTTTAAGCCTCTAAAACAGGCTCCCCTCTTAAGTGAATATTGAGAACATATATAAGCGCCAACACTGGTAGATGGCCAGAAGAGTTTGTATTTCTAAAGCAATTTTTAATCAGCAAGTTTTACTTCAGACATAGCAAACAATTTAACTTCTGCATAATTATGCAAATACATGAAGAGAAATAATCTTGTGTAAGAAATACTAGAAAAGTAATTGTTAAAAACCAATTCCATATTCCCACGGTAATAGTTCACATAAAAATTTCTACATTTCAATTGCTGAGTACATGATTGTACAATATAGGATTATTTCTATCACTTTTTACAACATTTTTAATAATAATACTTTTCTTTTAATATTTAGTTTTTTAAAATGCGAAATTGAAAAACGCATACCACCCTAAATTTTTACCCTCCTACCGCAGATCACTGTTTGTAATAGTCAATTATAATTGAACTATTGTCGTCTTTTTGTGAACATTTTTCGGTTTATTTCGATAAGAAATTTCTTTAAAAAATAAATTTTCTATTTTATTTTAGAAATTTGTTATTATTTACTTATTTATTTTTAAACATATATGTAGCCGACAGAATAGTCTCAAGAGGACTTAAAAATAATAAATATAGAGTATAATACATAATGCACTTAAAAGCACAAAATTACATAATACAGAATGTAATAATATTATTTAATTACATAGAATAAAAAAAAAGTAAAAGATATTTGAAAATAAATAAAAAGGTTTGCAGATGTTGATTATTTAATGAAGTGAGTTGTTATGAATAACTATTTTATTATTAATTAAGTTTAAGTTAGAGAACATAAGTAGAATAGGCGAATTTAATAGAGAATCAGATTTAGGAGTAGGATAATTGAAAAATAATTGTGAACGCGAAGATAGCCTAGGAACATTAAAGGATAGTTGGTTAAGAATTAGAAGAGAGTCTATATGGCATTATTGCAAAGTTTAAATAAGAACATAATAGTACTGAAAAATTGACATGTTCTATTATCTTCATATTTGAACTTTGAAATAATTATTATTTATCAATTTCAATTACAACTTACATCAGTCGTGGTCGTGCAGGCGCTCCACAGTCCAAATCTGGCAGGATACTCCCCTTCGGAGTCTCCGAGCCAGTCGGGGGTCAAAAAAGCCACCAGGGAAATTATGAAATGGCAAACCGTGAAAATTGCCCACAAAACGCCCACGGCTTTCGAATTTCGCGCGTATCGGGCGGCGTGCACATGGGAGGCGTCTACGTACTCCACAGTCGAACCCATAATTAATTAAACTTTAAAAAAATAATAATAGAAAATTTTTAATATTAATAATTTTTAATAAATTTTATGCAGTAGAACACAAATGTTTTAATAGTATTATTTTAAGCACCAACGTACACTTTACAAAAATTTGTAGAGTTTTTGTAATTTACAGAGAATATTTATCTTATTAGAGCTTGAGCTAATAATTAATTTTTGTTTGAGTTAATAATTTTTGATTCAGACAAAATTAAGTTCAATGGCCAATAAACTTAATATACATATAAAAATAAAATAGTACAATTTTTGATTTACACAAGAACTTCGAAACTTATTTGAAATTATTTTAAAATTTGTAAAATAATATTTAGTTTGGAATATTGATCTCAGTATTGAAGACTGATTAAATAATGTTATTTTTGGGAAAATACTGAATTTTGATCTTGAGACTATATTTTTTATTAAGTAAAGTTAAACTTGGCAAAATTTTTGATCTGCACAAGAACTTAGAAAGCTATTTAAAAATTATTTTCAATTTGTGTAATACTGTATTAATATTAGTGTAATATAATATTTAGTTCATTATAAATTAATATTATTTTCTTAATATTAATCTCAGTATTATAAATTTATTAAATAATGTTATTTTCGGGAAAATACTGAACAATTATTATTAATTTGTGAAATAAACTTTGTTTGATCTCGAAATTAATATTTTATTAATTAACGTAAGTTTCTAAATTATTTGTTATTTTTAAAATAAATCTCAAAAAATTAAAGGAAATTAAATATTTATTAAATAATGTTAAGCTTAGGAAAAATTCTAAATAAATATTTGCAATTTTCAAAACAAATATTGTTTTTGAACTTATGGTCTCAAAAATAAATATTTTATAATTTAAAAAAAATTGTAAAATTTTTAATTATATAAAATATTTAAATGTTTTAATATATTATATTTATTTTTTATATATATAAACAGTTAAAAATATAACTGCGATTAAAATTAAAAAAAATCTTGAACAAGCATTTGAGTATTAGTTATAAAATTGCCATTAATTTATTACGAATTAATTTTTAACTCTTGATGGGACTTTAAATTTTTAATAGCCATATTATTCACTTTGTTCATGTTTTGTATATACTTAATATTATCTAATTTTTTTTTTTTTATTATATTATTGTTCACTTTTTTATTTCTTCACTTTACACAATGGTATGTAAATTGCAACTTGTTGCACAACTTTTTTGCAATAAAACTTGCAAACACAAATTTGTTAATTTGTATATAATTAGGACACTGGCATATTTAATACAATATTCAGTACACATTAATATTTTTATAGTTTATTAAATGTATATAATAATTTATATATTTATTTATCACATCCGACATTTCAACATTTAACTTTCTTTTATCACTGGTTGGCGATATGTTGTATCTGTTCCTGGTTGGCACTGGTTCATTAGTTTTATTTATTAATTAATTTATGATCGGTATCGATTTTGGTGGTGACACCGTTTTTAGTTGATAATTTAATTTGACAGCAGAAATACAGTTAACTTCTAAGGCAAGATATTTCTTGCTTTAGATAGAATCTTCAAATGAAGGAAAGTTTGTTTGTGTTGGTGATTTGGGTTTGACTATATGAAGACAGGGTTGGGTGAAGTTATAGTAATAGTTAGTTGTAAACTTTGTTTCATATACAGGGTGGCCCAGAACTCAACGTCAACAAAGGGGTCGTAATAAGCATTAAACAAATTAGAATTTTTATAACTTCCCTTATAGAAATCGCAAAAAATCAAGAAATTCTTTTTATATATCTTTACGTTTCAAAGGTTTCTGAATATTTTGACATACCTTAGAAGAAATAGGTATACGAAATACGTATTGATAAGGAGACGTGCTGATTAGTTTTTGGCGAAGACAAGTCGAGCATTTTAATTCTTTGTTTTTAATTTTGGATTTTTGTTTTAGATATCCCTGTACCACAAGTTAGTCGTTTGTATGTTGCTTCGAACGTATTCTTGTCCACGATTCGTTTCCCCTTCTTCGTCCTTGGCTGTTCTGCTTCTTTCTTACCTGGTTCACCTGTGTGATGAAACATTTTACTCCATTGGCGTAGAATAAATAATATTGCCTATTTATTTTATAAACAATATCTTGGTAAAATGATTCAATTTTTCTAACATTTTTCGAAGAGTGATTAATTGTACAAAAATCTAAACTGAAATTTTGCATATCTTTAAGTTTCAGAGGTTTCTGAGCATTTTGGAATACCATAGAATTAATAAACATTTTTTTGCTTACGTTTTTGAGAGCACAAATCAACCGATTTGAATGATTTGATTAGTGTTGACGGGAAGATGTGCTGACTACTTTCTGGCAAAGGCAGTTTCAGTCGTTTCAAAGTTACTAGGCAAAGAATGCAGAAAATAAGAATTAGATTTTTCGAGAACGAGACATCCGATTAGATTGAATCAAAATCCTACCCTTAAGGTACGTTTTCATGCATCACTATTTTTTATTAACTTTTCGTATGGTGTCGCAAATCGCAAAAAATCGATACAAATTTTTGTCGACGATTTCGGGACCACCGATCAATCGATTTGAATGATTCAAAAAACATTCGATTCGTATCGATGTGGAGACGTACTGATTAGTTTTTGGTATAGGCAGATCCAGCTGTTTCGAAGATAAAGAGCAAAAAGTGCAGAAACTCCGAATAGATCCTAGACATTCGCTCACAGCGTTGCGCGTGAGCATGTCGTTATAGCTGAGTTGATTGGCGCGTCACCGCAATTTTCGTTCGTGTTAGTAGATAAGAAAGTCAAAACTGATCGGGTTCGAATTCCACGTCTGTAAAGTTTTTAAAAAAATTTTAATACTTTTTATGTTTGTACAGTTGATACTACATGAACAATTTCAAATTGTTATCTCTGAGCATATATTTCGCAAACGAAAAATTTAGATTTATTATCTTATCTAATTAGATTTTGTTTATATATATTTCAATCAAACATATATAAACAACGTCGTCTAATCTAACAAGTTTCTACATTTTGTCTACAAGGAACAAATAATAAAAATTCTAGTTTTTATAATATTTATTCATAGACATTTTTGTTGACTGATTATTTTTATTCTTCGAATGTTTAATTACGGTACGGGAAGTTCAAGCAATTTGCCTAAAGGTAGTTTTTTTTTATTTATCTACGCCACTGGTTTTTCTTGCTTACCTTTCTCTATTGAAAGCAACTTCAGGTATTTCACACGCGCGCCGCCATCGTGCTTTGCGGAAACTTGCGCAACTAATTTGACACAAGTCAAATGTCAACCCGACATTATAATGTTTTTATTTACATTTTTACACAAAACTAAACGTTTATAATTATGTAGTGCCTCCAAAATCTAATTCCGGTGTTTTTAAAAAACAGATAAGTTATTTAATTTGTTTTCCACGTTTTTACAGTTTTAAGTTAAATCCTTTCTCGTTATGAATTTCAACTTCAATCAATTTGACAGTTGACATTTTTTGTTTACACTTTAGAAAAATCGAAATATTTCTGTGATTGATTGAGGATTAATTAAAGGAGTTTTGTTATTGTAATGAATAGTTTGAATGCTTTTCAACAAGATGATGTGGTACAAAAGCAAGATTTTCAATATAAAAAACGAACTGAAAATGGGTAAGAATTACATTTTCAATTAGCACGATTTAATGAGTTTATAGTTAAAATTTTGTTTTCTCGACGTTTCAAGTCATTCTGAATCGTGTGAGAGCAAATTTGATTTAGTTATGTATGGCATCGTGTTTAAAGGCAAATTGCAGTACCGAAACAAAATTTATTCTATCAGATTTAAAATGCAGGACATTGTCTAATATTTGCAAGAACTATATAAACTGAAGTGCAAAGTTAAAATTATTTAATAAGTATATAAGTGAGCTTTAGAATTTTAGCCAGAAATAAAATTAAAATCTGAAATATTTTCGATATAGAAAAAAAATTCAAAATTTCAAATTCTAAAAGTAATTGTTTTGTCAACACAAGCAGAACCTTTTTTGAATCATTCAATTGGAATGCTTAGTTCTCTCAAAAACTGCAATTTTTTGCACATTAAGCTCCACAGTATCTCTGAAATGGCTGAACCTGCCTTTGCCAGAAACTAATTATTACTTCTCCCCATCATTACGAGTTGAATGTTTTTTTAATCATTCAAATCAGATACTCCGTTCTCTCAAAAACACGATTTCAATTTCCTGCATTCTTTGCTCCGTATCTCCGAAAAGACTGGACCTGCCTCTGCCAAAGACTAATCAGCACATCTCCCTATAAATAGAAATCGAAAAAATCAATTTTAGATCATGATTTTTAGAAGATACAATGGATGAAATGAAATGTGTTAAATAAATTAATTTGTCTACATAATTACAATCAGAAGCATTCTCTACGTTTCAGAGGTTTCTGAACATTTTGTAATACCTTAAAACGGATGTATGTGTGTATGTTCGGATATAAAATTTCGTCGACGATTTCAAGAAGACGTTTCAACCGATTTGAATGATTCAAAAAACATTCGATTCCTATTGATAAGGAGACGTGCTGATTAGTTTTTGTAAAGGCAGGTTCAACCCTTTTGAAGATACGGGAAAAATAGAGCCAAAAATGGTAATTCAGTTTTTGAGAGAATGGAGCGTCCGATTTCAATAATTCAAAAACATTTTACTTGTATGGACAAAATGAAGAACTGATTGAATTTTTGGGAAGGCAGATCTAGCGGTTACGGCGATCGAGTGATGAATGTAAAAAGAAAAGCCATTTGTCGGTCAAAAATGATCATTAGACATAAGCACATCAAATTATCAGATATTTTATAGAGATTTTAGTAATAATTATTAATTTTGTTTACATTTCTATGGGTTCCGTACCAATTTTTAGTATAAAATTTCTATCTCATTTTTTATTCGCTGAGCAGTATAGCTTAATAATCCAGTATATATTCCTGTGTTAAAGGAGACCTAGCATTGTTAAATATTTGCCCAGTGCTTCCAGATTCAATAATTTTGCCACTATGAAAAAACACAACACTATCAGATAACTTTCTGGCATGTTTCATTGAATGAATTATGTTTTTTTTTAAGAATGTTGCTCGAGATCCACCACACCGTGGTCGGCGAAACGGGCGACATCCGAAGAATCAAATTCTTCCTGGTCGCCTTCGACTACGACGAGGAGCGGTTGGCCGCCTGCGACCGCAAAGGAAACATCTTCGTGATCGATTTGAAGGCGAGTCAATTGTGGACGCTGCCGACGACGGGCAAGGTGACGGCCCTTGCCTACGCCTGCCATGTGAAGAATTTGATTTTGACCGCCTCCAAAGATGGACTCATTCATGTTAGAGATATAGGTGAGGTTCTAAAGTTATTCATGGGGCATAACAATATAGAACTAGTGGGGCGCATGGCATCGTGCCTTAAGGCAAATTGTTGGAACTTCCCGTACCATAATTAAACATTCTAAGAATAAAAATAATCAGTCAACAAAAATGTCTATGAATAAATATTATAAAAACTAGAATTTTCATTATTTGTTCCTTATAGACAAAATGTGAAAACTTATTAGATTAGACGACGTTTTGTTTATATATGTTTGAATGAAATATATATAAATAAAATCCAATCAAGCGTACTTATTGTGAGATTGAACATATTTTATTTCAAATGCATCAATTTTTCGTTCGCGAAATATATGCACTGATTGTGAGTTAACAATTTTAAATAGTTCATATAGCATCAACTATACAAACATAAAAAGTATTCCAAAATTTTAAAAAATGATTTTACTGGCGTGGAATTCGAACCCGATCATTTTTGACTTTCTTATCTATTAACGCGAACGAAAATTGCATTCACGCGCCAACCAACTCAGCTATAACTACATGCTCACGCACAACGTTATGAGCGGATATCTAGGGTCTAATAGGAATTTCTGCACTTTTTGCTCTTTATCTTCGAAACGGCTGGACCTGCCTATATCAAAAACTAATCAGTACCTCTCCACATGAATACGAATCGAATGTTTTTTGAATCATTCACATCGACCAATTTCTTCTCTCAGAACCTGCCATTTCTTGCACTTTTTGCTCCGTATCGTCGAAACCGCTAGACCTGCCTTCGCTAAAAACTAATCAGCACGCCTCTATAAATAACTAGTGGGGCGCATGGCATCATGCCTTTAGGCAAATTGCTGGAACTTCCCGTACCAAAAAAAATTTTTTTTTAAATGATTAACATTGGTACGGAACCTATAGGAATGTAAACCAAAATTATACTTATTGGTAAAATCTCTATAAAATATCTGATAATTTGATGTGCATATGTCTAATGATCATTTTTGACCGCCAGATGGCACTTTTTTACTTTTATTACTAGATCTCCGAAACCGGTAGGCCTGCCTTCATGAAAATTTGATCAGTTCTTCATCTTGTTAATACAAGTAAAATGTTTTTTAAATTATTCAAATCGGACGCTCCGTTCTCTCAAAAACTGAGTTACCGTTCTTGACACTTTTTGCCTCATATACGAGTATCGTATTCGGAGCGGCTAGCCCGCCTTCGCAAAAAACTAATCTGCACGTCTCCTTATCAATACGAATCGAATGTTTTTTGAATTATTCAAATCGCTTTATGCGTGTTCCCGAAATCGTCGACGAAAATTTGTATCTGAACACACATACACACACGCACACACATACACACATACACACATACATTCATTTTTTCTAAGATATGCCAAAATGTTCAGAAGGTTTTGAAACGTAAAGATCTATAAAAAATTTCATTCTCAATTTTTTTGCGATTACTATAACTTGCTCTACGGGAAGTTAAAGAGTTCCCAGACTTATACTACTACTATTTTTTTTATGATCACATGTCTGTGATCAACAGATGGCCCTCTGTGCCCTTTGTGCTTCGACGCACGTTTCACAATATACTACAGGTAAAACTAGGCAGACCGTTTAGAACCGTTTAGCATACTTACCTGGCGTGGGGAGTACCGTGATCAACAAGGCGGTTTCCCCAGGGCGAGGTCTGGCCATTGCACTTAGGTTGGATTGACCCCTGTGATTGTCCCTAATGTGGATAACTCGGGCGCGTAATTTTTGGTAGTCGGGACTGCGTACGCGCTGTCCCGGTAATAATCAAATTATCACTGAAAACATAAGAATAAAGAGCATATAAAGTGTTAAGGCGCGATGCTTAAAAAATTACTTCGACGTCTAACTGGGTGTTGTCGATTTGCTTATCCTAACCACTACACTTTTAAATTTGTTCTATAATTGAACTCCTGGTGTGATCGGTGATTATTACTTAAAATGCGACATTTTATATTAATATATACATGGTCTGTTCAAAAAGTACCCGGAATTACTAATAATTAAATTTCGCGGGTCTGGAGTGTCTGATTGTCAAAATTTTTTTTTTATTGTGTTGGTATACATGCCCCTAAAGTATGATGAAATTTTCAGCTATATTCACTGTTTACTTTGTCTGTGGTAGTCGCTAAGGTTCGACGTGTTTTTCTGAGCTCGGCGATTTTTACAATGGAAGAATTGAAAAGTCAAAGAATTTGTATTGAATTTTGCGTAAAAAATGAAATAGTGTTGCAAAGTGCAAAAATTCACCAGATATGGCTCCGTGTGACTTATTCCTATTCCCAAAGTTGAAGAGACCCATGAAAGGACGGCGGTTTTCCTCGATTGAAGAAAATCGCTGAGAGTGCTCAAGGACATATCAAAAAGTGAATATCAAGGGTGCTTCGAAAATTGGAAAAAACGCTGGCATAAGTGTATTATATCTGGGGGGGACTACTTTGAAGGGGACCACATTAATGTAGACGAATAAATAAATATTTTTTTGAAAAAACGAAAATTCCGGGTACTTTTTGAACAGACCTCGTATATATATATATATATATATATATATATATATATATATATATAAGAAAATATGATGAGTATAATGGCATTAGATAGTTGGTATTTCTATACTGAGCTCTGAACTTATACTGAATAAAAATTAGTAAAAATTAACATTAATAATATTAGCCCCGCCCGTAAGAGGTGGTTACATTAATTTGTACATCTACGGGGGAGTCCAACATTTTTGAAAACATTTAATTTTCTTCGAATATTTCATTACGGTTCGGAAAGTTCCCTCAATTTGCCTTAAGGCACGATACCATACACCACTAGTTAAATATTACTTTTGCAGATAATGGTTCGGTGATTGAAGTAATGGAGGGCCATAAGGATAAGGTGATGAGTTTCAGTTTCGATATGGAATATTTTTGCTTATCAGCTTCCACGTCCGAAGCGTTTGTATGGGATTTGCAAACTTATGGAATTGTTCACAAAGTAAACCTGAAATCGAACGCCAATATTGTACAAGTGAGTATACTTATACGTTAGACCTATAGTAATAGATTAGTGACATGTTTTTTTTCTATTTTTCAGGCTATGTTTATACCTATCCGGCACGATTTAGTAGCTCTATTCTCAGACGATGTCCTCCACGTCTGGAACCATGATACTTTTGAACCACGCAAAAAAATTACATCGTTCAGCACAAAATTCGCAAATGCAAATTCTTTAGCCAGTTCCAAAGATGGTAGAACACTTATAATCAGTGGAGCCGGTGATTACATAGCCCTTTACGATACCGAAACGTGGCAACCACTGAAACAAATTTGTTTGAACAATGTAGAAATCGTCCAGATAATGTTTATACCCCAAACGTTCGATTTGGGGGCTAGTAAAATCTTGGCAGTGTTAACTAGTGATTCTACCCTCCATGTGGTAAATACTGAAAGCAGTATGTTGCTGCAGAAGGTCTCGACTAAGGATGCAGTAAAATTTTTGTGTTCGGAAAATGGCAAGTATCTATGCTGCTTGTCCAGGATGGGTGAAGTGCATGTTTATAATGTGAAGCAGATGTTTGGGAAATATAAAGGCGAACCAATAAGTTTGCCCAGTGAGAATAGTTTGAAATTTGTGAGAAGTTGTGAGAGTTTCAGAAGACTTGAAAATCAGGGTGATGATAATGGTGTTTCTGCAATGGCTAGCAGGAAGGCGAACAGGTTGCGGCTAATACAGGACGAGGTAATAATAATTATTATTTTTTATTTTATTTTATTTTTATTTTTAAATATATAGCCCACAGATTTCTTCCAAGAGGACCAATAATACAATTATTTTACGTAATGAATAACAATTAAAATATATACAAAATTGCAATATATAGTTATTAACATCAAATGCTTAACATAAAATTACATATAACGCAGAATGTAACAATATTATTTATAAACAGAATAAGATAAAATAATGAGATATTTGAAAAGAAAATATAAAGGTTAACTTGTGCAGATGGAGATTATTTGATTAGGTGAAGTGTTGTGAATATCTATGTCATTATTAATTAAGTTAAAGTTAGAGGACATAAGTAGAATAGGCAAATTTAAGAAAGAATTAGATTTAGGAGTAGGATAATTGAAAAATAATTGTGAACGCGTAGATAGCCTTAGAACATTAAAGGATAGTTGGTTAGGAATAAGAGGACAGTCTATAGAATTATTGCAAAGTTTAAATAAGAACATAATTGTACAGACATGTCGACGTGAGGCAAGGGAAGGAATACCAAATTCTTTTAGTAAAGTGTTGTGGTCAAAGCCACGTTCAGGGTAAATTTTATATGTTTTATAATAAAGGTATTTCAGAAATTTTCGCTGAACCTTCTCTATCGCATCAGAGTTGTTGATTTGATGAGGATACTAAATAATCGAACCATATTCTAATTTTGAACGTACATTAGAATAGTACATGCAAAGAAGTGCATTGTTAGAATTGAATTGTTTACAATTTTTCAGTATCAAACCTAAAGATTGATGTGCTCTATTACAAATATCAGTTATATGATCAGTGAAAAACAAACCAGAATCAAATAAAACTCCTAAGTCTGATATTTTATTACATCTATCAATGCTGGTGTTAGAAATTTTATAATCAAAATTAGCTTATGTGAAAAACTAAGAATCTTGCACTTTGATATATTTAAAAGTAATTTGTTATAGACACACCAAGAGTGGAAAGAGTCAAGTTGAGACTGTAATAATAAGCAGTCATCAATAGAATTTATTTTGAGATATAATTTGAGATCATCTGCAAATAATAAATGTGGACAGCTAATAATTTTAGATAAGTCATTAATAAAAATAATAAATAGTAGTGGACCAAGAATGGATCCCTGAGGAACACCTGAACTGATTTTTTAACTGTTTATGATTATGAAGATAACTTTTAAAAAAATAAATAAGTGAAAAATAAATACCTATCTTAGATAATTAATTTATTATAATAATCGCACAATTTTTTTACTTTATTTTACTATTAGCTCAAGAAGACTTTAAGCATCAAGAAACTCAGACCGATTCTTCTCCAATACCAGGAGTATCCTGACAAGCACAGAAATCTAATCTGGCGTTTTCTTCTTAAACTTCCAAACAACTTTACAGTTTATAAATCTTTGGCAGATCGTGGCCTGCACAACAGTTTCAAAAACTTGGAACAAACCCATCCGATGAAAAGTGTACGTACCATGAGAAACATGAAAACTGTCTTATCCATATTGGCACATTGGTGTCCATTGTTTGCTCAAGTCGAATATTTACCATCGTTGATATTTCCTTTTGTCAAGATTTTCGAGAATAATTCCTTGGTAACGTTTGAAGCTATATACACAATTTTGGTGAACTACTGCCAATTTTGGTTTGAGTACCATCCTTTGCCTCCGGCCAATATTTTATTGATTGTTGAGAACGTTATAGGAGAGCATTGTGAAATGTTGATAAATTACTACGATGATTTACAAATAACGCCACAGGAATATGCTTGGCCTATTTTGAGTACTGGTTTTTCTGAAATTTTGGATACGAATCAGTGGTGCAGTCTTTGGGACAACATTTTGACCAACGATACTTGTTTTTTACTCTTGGCAGTCGCTGCTTACAATATAGTCCAGAAAAACGTTATCGTACAACACAAAACCAAACAGGATTGTTGTGATTTCTTTCGCACCCAGAACCATTTTGACATGTCCTTGTTTATCAAACTTATATACGAATTGGATAAGAGCACATCGGATGATAATCATCCAAAGTATTTTTAAAAGACTTTGAATCTTTACCAAATGATACATATACAGTGTTCACGGGGTATCCTAAAGGCATAGTTGAATATCAGATGGATAATTTGGACAGGATTGAACGTGAGGAGCAGGAAATTCTGAGGCAGGAGATGGAGGCTTTGGAGAAAATCAAATGCCAGCAGGACAGGATCAGGGATGGAATCAGCAAGGAGGAGCATGCTAAAAGACTAGAAGGTAAGATAAAGAAATAGTAATAATAGACTTGCAAAATTCATTTCAAGATAATTCTTATAAATTTATTTCTATTTCAATTTATTAATAAGTTTTCATGTTTCAGCACTTGGATACAAATGCAAACGACTAATCGAAGAACAGGAAAAACGTTTATCCGAAAGGAGATTTGGTATCTTGGATATTCAGAAGGATTTAGAAGTCAGCGAAAGGATATTGCACACTGATGCTCGAACCAGGCTGCTTACTGAAGAGGCCAATCGCAGAGCATTTGAGAAGTGGAAGCAGGCACAGACATCAGAGAATAAGGTAACTTGGAAACTAGAACCAACTAGAAGAAAATTTTAAGTAATTAAGTTAATTTTATATATTATTTTAGAAAACTGGTAGAGTCACCGAACACACAATGATGGAGGATCTGCATGTACGTTACAACCGATTGCTGGACAGGCAGCTAGAGCTGGAGGCAAAAATGGAAAGAAATCCAAGACATGATGTTTGTAATAGATTAAGGAAGACATCTGATTTTATTAATAGTTTGCCAAATAAGGAACGTAGTAAGACGGTTTGCTTTAATCCGCAATCCAGTAGAGATTGGTATTTATAAAATAATAGAGGGTGTTCTAGTCTACAATTGCTAGGAAATGGATTTGTTTTTGGGATATTTTTAATGTTTAACTGTTCAAGAATATGTGTACGGAAGGATTGTTTAAAATTTGAGGTATTTTCAGAGATATAGCTGTTTAATCACGATCACGATAATTTTCCTATCTTTTTCGATACGATACCCACGATTTCTCAACTTCTACTGGACCGATTTCCTTGAAATGTTTACAGAGTCTTTTTATTGACTTCTCTTCAGTATGAAATATTCCCAATCGCTCATTCCCAAATTCCGATTTGTACTATTCTTAAAAAATTCGAGATTATCAAATAAAGTTGTAACTAGTGGTGTATGGCATCGTGCCTTAAGGCAAATTGCTGGAACTTTCCGTACAATAATGAAATATACTTAGAATAAAATTTAGTAAACAAAATATTGTTTGGAAATCAAAACAAAAAATGAAAAAAAAGGTTTTTCCCAAAAGCAATCGTTTCGTCTACTCAAGCAAAACGTCTTTTGGATCATTCAAATCGGATGCTCCGTTTTCTAAAAAACACAATTTCTATTTTCTGCACTCTTTACTCCGTATCTCCGAAACGGCTGATCCTGCCTTTGCCAAAAAATAATTAGCACATCTCTCTATCAATACTATAACTTACCCTACAGAAAGTTAAAAAGTCTTTATAACATTGTGATGAAAACTATCATAACCGTCCTCCCTCTATTTATTACAGTTTTTATTTTTTTTCCTAGTTCGATAATTTAATGCCAACGTCCGATGCAGTGTTTCGATTGAAAACTGTTAAAAATTTGTTAGACGAAGCCGAACAAGAACTATTCAAAGTATCGTCCAGTACACACATTGATCCATATCATCCATATACTGGTAATGGATTCAGACCAAGTAAGCAATAAAAAAAAAATTGATTGATATAACAAATTATCTGGGATAAATATAATAAGATTCCGGGTAATAGATAGAAATTTTCACTGTTTTTACTACCAATAAACAAGCATAAGAATGCGTTGCCATGACAACGCTATCCTATGAGGAAGAATTGCTCCATAATTGTTATTCCCAATATTGTTTCTTAATTTTGTTCTTATAGCGGATCTAAATATTTCCATTATTCTTTAGTATACATATATCTATTAGATTCGTTAATTATAATTATATTATATATAGTATTTAACTATTATAAATAAATAACATTTTCAGATAGTGCATGTACAAACATCGGATACAAGTTTGTCTGAGAGGCGTAATTTTTAATAACGATTGTGATATTAATGTAGTCAACCGTATTTTGTATTTGCATAATTTTTGTAAGCAATATTTTTTTACTTAAGTTTTAATTATTTATATTTTAATAAAAAATATATAGCAGCAATAAATACTGTTGCGATTAAATAATGGCGATTTTTAATTTGTGGTATAAATTTAATGATGTTAAATAAATATGGAACTTACCGTACCGTAAATAAAATTTCGAAAAATAAAAATAATCAATAATTGTTTAAAATAATTTCAAATAGATTATTTATTTTAAATGCATACCGAAAACTCATAAGTGCCTATTAAAATTGGTATATATGTTTGTTTTTAGGAAATTTATTCAATTTTTTTTTAAATTTGTTCTTATTTGATAATTTTGAAATTTTTAGGAATTCGAAATGTTTTGGAATTTTAAAAATTATGAAATTTTTTGAGAATTCGGAAAATTCGGATGTTTTTTTATTTTTTATTTTCAAACTTTTGCAAAAAACGTTTTTTTCAAATTTTGATATTTTTCGAAATTTAGTTCTTTTTTGAGAATGATGAAAAATTTCGAAAATTTGAGTTTTTTGAAACTTTAATTTTTCTTGAAAATTTCTAATTTTTTTCAAATTTTCAAAACTACGAAATTTTTTGTAAAACTATTTTTTGCACACCGTCTACAAAGCAAAAGGTTCTTTGAATTAATCTAATCAGGATCGGGAGTTATTTAAAACTTGTATACATAAAAATATTTAATATTTGGCACATAATACATTAACAAGGTTTTGTAAAAAAATTAAGTAACAATAAATATATAAAAATGCTAAGAAGTATAATATTGGTATTATAATATTTAAATGCATGAAAGCAGATATGTAGATAAATACTTCTATGTTAGATTTAATATTTTCTAGACATTCGATTTACTGAGGTATTTGTTTTCTCAGAACTTTTTTGTAGTTTCTGAGTTTTAATCACAGTATGTAATAAGGGAATGAACAGGTACAGAAACTTTATCTTTGCCATTCAAGTCTTTTAACTCCATTACGACTAAACATTGCACGACATCTGCTTGCACTTTTTGTAATAAATCAACTGCAGCAGCCATAGTACCTGTAATAAAACATTATTTAAATTGTAAAATAAATATTCAAGTTAATAACAAATTACCTCCGTTGCTAAAAGATCATCAACTACTAAAACTTTTTGTCCGGGCATTATGCTGTCTGTTTGCAAAAGATCATCAACTACTAAAACTTTTTGTCCGGGGGCATTATGCTGTCTGTTTGCAACTCAAAAACATCCTAAATTATACATACATGTATTAATACAAAAAATTTCCATATTCCATTATTTATTACCTCTCCATATTCTAATTGATATGAGACACTTGCAGTCTTTCCAGCAATTTGCCTTTTTTTCTTATCGGTACACAACCTATTCCCAGTTCTGCAGCGATTAACATGCAAAATAGGAATCCTCTTGCTTCTAAACCGACTACACA